AAAATACTGCAGGATTTTCGTCTGTTTCAAAAGTGCTTGGGCAAATGCAAAAACCTGTTTTTCTAATAGCCCACGTCGAGTACATGCGAGATATATGTTATCCCACGTCTTACAATCCCCTGGAATGATGCTTTACTCAGTACACTTTTGATGACTTCATTAATTGTTTTATTTCGTACAATTGTTAAATTATACATTAAACACTTTGAACGGGTCTAAACTATATTAGATCATTTTTTTCACAGAAAAAATTATAGCGCATTAATAATAAAAGCTTCTAAAAGTAAAATAGTAATAGATACATATTATGTATTTGAATTGCTTGTGTTTCATTAAACAAAACACAAGCAATTCAAAACCGAAAATGATTCTTCTAGAAATTGAGATACTATGAGTAAGTCCAACTGAGCAACGGCAAGATTGAAAATATACAAACTAAGGATGTACAGATTTTCAAAGTTATACAAAAAAATAGTGCTCGCTAGATTTTGCCTAAAGAAAAACAGTGCACAAAGTTAACGCTCATCGGTTCAAATGTTGTCACATGCATAGTGGACAAAGCATATATTTATCGGTAGAAAAACGTCACACTTGTACTAGTCATCTATGTTCACATAACAAGGTGACATCAGAAATAAAATGAAATATTTAAATTCACAAGTTTATTAAACTCTGCATCGGAAATGTAAATCAGACTTGGTGGATAGAATACAAAAAGGTGAGAAAAGATTTTGCCAGACATATAGACTGAAAAAGAGTAATTTTTATTGTAAGAATGATGAGTCATGCAACACGTTACGTATGAACGAGAATAGCAAATTATATTCATTCGTTTCTCTTCATTATTATTGTATTTGACCATCTCTAATCTTTCATTGGAACAATCGTTTTAATTTGAAAAATCTTGAAATTCCATCGTTAATGTCTTCTAAATGTAGAATTCCAAATGAGAGAAAAACAGCAACCATCCCAGGAAAAGGCTAAAGAACAAAAGTTGGTCAACTAAACAAATATGCAAGCATCGTAGTTTTTTTGGTATCACAGTAACAAAAATTGTATTGGACTGTATTGCAATCCGCAATAGAAAAAATTGTTATTAAAACACGACACATAAACACAGTCAGCAAAATAGCAAAGCGGTTCGGTTCGATAAAAAATAAATGAAAGAAACGATGTACTCATTAATGTACATTCTTTGAATTGAATCTTTACCAATAAAATAATATTAACCATGTTCTGTTGATCAAAATCTGATTAGTTAACTCTTTTGTATGAGATAACTATCGTGACTAAATATCTGTGAATTTCATACGAATCTATTCGTATTACAAATAAAAATTCAGTTTGTAACAAAATCTGGCACTGATTTCATATTACGGTATGAGATATAATCAAAGTATTAGGCGTATAAAACAAGAATAAGAAGTAAGAAACAGAAGGAATAAACCACAAACGACAACTTTATAACGCATTTTAAACTGATTTTCGTTATCTAATTTAGAGAAGAGGAGTGAGAGAGAGCAATTAATTAACACTATCGTTAGTTAATGACAATAAAGTTTAAAATATAAAGTAGTTAGTTGCTGCATGATAAAATAGAGCAAAATAAAATAGTTTGGCATCCTTTGATTATTTTAAGAAATGAGTTGAATAAATACATATCATACATACAATTTTAATACTGAAAAACCAAAAACCAAAAAAAAAGAATAAAGAAAATCACAGATAAAAAATAAGAAAAGCTCGCGCATAAAAAGTAACTGTCGATTTGAAGACAACAAATATGAGAGTAACAGCTCTAAAATATAACAGTACTATTAAAAGAATAATCTTCCCTAGTTCATTGGTTGAAACCTTTATGTACGTAGAAATAAAAGTTCCAAGCTACCAACAGGATGAGACTCACGATAGACGCATAAAAGAGAGAAAAAGGAACAACAATCATTAGACAAGGAATGTTTTTACAAAAGCATACAATTACAGGCGACAATCCTTTAACAAACCATATAATTTTGATCACAAAAACTTAAGGTGGAACAAATAAAACGTATACTCTATTTTGGTAAATTATTTCCGTTTTGTCCGGTTGCTGGTGACGTAGTGACGTTGGATCTATGATTTCGTTTCATTTCCATTGCTTTTACATGAGCGAACAAGCCCGATCCGCCCAAAACGAATATATTTGATACCCACCATAACATGGTTTTTGTCTAAATAAAAGTAAAAAACATGTGACCATTGAAATATTTAGGAGATGAAGATAGTGTTCAGATTTATGAAATAGTATTATAAGAAAATTCTTACCTCATTGTAAACAACAACAGCTAATAATGTTTGAACATAGGATTTTGCTGTACCACTCACATTATGAGTTAATGGACTCGTCATTTGTATTTGAAAACCGGTAACATACCCCATTGAAAAGCCCAAAATACCAGCGAATGTCATTGCTGACCAGAATTGTAAATTATACAATTTAGGATAAACGGCAACAATTGGCACTTCTTGGAAGATCAACATTAATGGAATAAATAGGATACAAGCATTAAAATTGTTATATAAACATAAACGCCAAACATTATTATCTACACATGGCAAACATCGGGTAGTGTAAATTGCGTTCAATGCCACAAATATACTAGATGCTACACCATAAAATGCACCAATAAGTGTTAATGTACCTAAAAGATCCATAATCCTATATTACATCACTATTATTAAATAAGTGGCCTACAGTTACTATACCTAATGACTTTTCTTGATCAAGTCCAAGGCAAAAGCCGGCAATGATTAATCCACAACATGCACAAGCCTTCCAAGATGTTCGTTGACCAAGCATAATGTATGATAAGACCTAAATCATGTAAGGATAGAAGTAAAAGTGGTTTTTACTTTATTTAATATACCACAAATGACTATCATAAAAGGGGTACCGTTTATATAAAAAAATTTAACCCAACACAATTTAAAAGACTGATGCTTTATATACTATACTATATATTGATTGTGGGTACATTGTAGTATCATAAAGTATGAGTTGGCAAACTACCACTTCTTTCTCGTCCGAGAATAGCAAAACACTTTCCAGTATGTTATCCGAAACGTCTATCAGCTTATTTCGGTAATGACTGAGAAAATTACGGTGAAAACTCCAAGTTATAGGTTTTACACTATGCTCTTCCTAACGGCTCTCTCGAAAAAATTGTACAAGGGTTTTAAGTAGGTGCTCTGGAAAAACATAGTTTTTTGCAAATCTGATGGACAGTTTTTGAATCTTCTAATAACTCTGCGAAAATTTATACATGATTTCATAGAGAGAATCCGGACTACAGAAGAGAGCGACATGAATCAGCTCTCCAAAAATTGTTTCAGGAAGCTACCACTACTTCTGCAGACATGAATTCCGATAGAATTCTATCAATGTAACTGTTGTCTATCAGCATTATCTTCTTGCTAATCAAAAACATATTTTCTTATGCAGTAGAACTCACTCAAAAAAATAGAAATATTACATAAAATCAAAAAAAATTTCTATTCTGCTGTAGTTTTTAATGTTCATAATTATTTATTTAACGAAAAAGTCTATACATATACTATCTTAGCAAAGATAGGCAACTCCAATGTCAACTCCGTTAGCAACCATCCTAACTCTTAATACACTACAAGACGAACCGCTGCACTTTTATCTGTATCAGTATGGATATTGCCCAAATACACAGTCTAACTTCGATAAAGTTTGCATAACTTCACCAAAAATCCACTAAATTTCGACTGAACTTTAGACTAAAAGTTTGGTTCCATTTTTCCATGATACATATATGAACCACAGCAAAAACGCACGTGAAAATAACGATCAGAACAAATGCTTTGTTTATAACTAGTAAATGTTTAGAGATAAAGTAACCATATTTGGAGTGCATATAGTCCCAATATATGAGTATATGCTGGATGATTAGAATTTTTAAATAAACTCTAAAAGAAGAAAACCTTGGGACCGTATACATCATGCAAACGATAACCTGTTTGTAAGAGTCACTCTCACACTTAACTTACAACATTGGCTACGGTCGTTAAAGATCTTCCAACCATGTAAAATGAGACATTTAAGTATTTTAATGTCAAATTATTAAATGTGATCATGGCAACAAACATAACAGAGAGTGGAAGAACCTAAAATCTTTGAATTACATATATTCACCAATAAATATTTTTGAATATTAACATACATCACGTGCTATTTTAAAATCAATTGTAAAACGTGGAAATGTAAATAGATTTGGCATGGCTCGGCTCCATACACCTAATAATCCACAAATACCTACAGTAACAACGCACTGATACCATGTGATAAATAATGGTGCGTCTAACTAAAGAGGAAACAATAGTAAATATCAGATTCATAGATATATCACAATCTCTCTACTTACTTTAACATTATCTGAACTTAATAAATATTTGTTTAAAAACACCATTGTAATTGAAACAAACCTTAAATAAAAGAATTTAATATTGCATTAGATTGTTCAGTGTTTGAATAATCTTCTATATACCAGTATAAAGTAACTGCCGTTGCTATTCGAACATAGCGCTTTTTCAAATCTTCTTGTGTCATGTTGAATGTTGATGATTCCTTTGATGAAGATGGTTCTTCAATTTTTACTTCTAATTTATTATTTGAATTAGTTGGAAGTATTCCATAAGTACTCATAATACAAAAAAAGATAACCTTAATCTAAAACTAAATATGTAAGAGCTAAACGATGGATGAGAAAGACGATTTTAATCGTATCATGTTATCGAAATGTAACAAAACTGAGTCAGGTAATACTCAGCATTTATAACAAAATTCGACCTCAGATTTCGGTTAATCTTATCTATACAAAAGAAGTGTAAATCGTGAACTAATATTCAAAAGTATCAAACTATTTGATTGGACAAAAAGTAAATTGTATCATTCAAGAACAGGTGATTTCAGGTGGAAATCTGCTACACTTCTCAACTAGTGTGTAGCATTTATCACTAACGTTACAAAGACAAAATTAAATATATTGTTGATGAAAATCTGGAACAAGTATTATGTTTTCTACCGGTTATTTGAAGAATTTTAATCTGAAGGACAAAATGGTATTTTATCCTTCAAAATAAATTGAGTAAGTTCGAGATACAAAGTTTTAGCATTTAAGAAGAAATTTAATTCAAAGCGCAAAGAGAAAATTGCTATTAGAACCCATCCTTGTTAGATCGGAATCCCAATTAGTAACACCGTCGAATTCTCTATGTCTCAAAACGCTTAGACTAAAAGTTTGGTTCCATTTTTATTTGTTACTCTTAAGTTCTAAGAAAAATAAAAGACAGAAAGTCTCGCGACATTGTCTAGTATCTTTCAGTTTTCTCCCTTGCAAATCAATTTCAACCTCCGCTACCGAATAACCGTGTCACCATGCTAAATTGCATGAAAAAAGAAAGGTTTCATCACATGTTCTTGAGGCGCGGCATAGGGCGAAAAAATGCTGTAGAAATGACTATCATTATATGCAGAGTAACACAATACGCACAAATATACTAGATGCTACGCCATAAAATGTATAAAGCATCAGTCTTTTTTCGGCAATAACTGGCACTTCTTGGAAGATCAACATTAATGGAATAAATAGGATACAAGCATTAAAATTGTTATATAAACATAAACGCCAAACATTATTATCTACACATGGCAAACATCGGGTAGTGTAAATTGCGTTCAATGCCACAAATATACTAGATGCTACACCATAAAATGCACCAATAAGTGTTAATGTACCTAAAAGATCCATAATCCTATATTACATCACTATTATTAAATAAGTGGCCTACAGTTACTATACCTAATGACTTTTCTTGATCAAGTCCAAGGCAAAAGCCGGCAATGATTAATCCACAACATGCACAAGCCTTCCAAGATGTTCGTTGACCAAGCATAATGTATGATAAGACCTAAATCATGTAAGGATAGAAGTAAAAGTGGTTTTTACTTTATTTAATATACCACAAATGACTATCATAAAAGGGGTACCGTTTATATAAAAAAATTTAACCCAACACAATTTAAAAGACTGATGCTTTATATACTATACTATATATTGATTGTGGGTACATTGTAGTATCATAAAGTATGAGTTGGCAAACTACCACTTCTTTCTCGTCCGAGAATAGCAAAACACTTTCCAGTATGTTATCCGAAACGTCTATCAGCTTATTTCGGTAATGACTGAGAAAATTACGGTGAAAACTCCAAGTTATAGGTTTTACACTATGCTCTTCCTAACGGCTCTCTCGAAAAAATTGTACAAGGGTTTTAAGTAGGTGCTCTGGAAAAACATAGTTTTTTGCAAATCTGATGGACAGTTTTTGAATCTTCTAATAACTCTGCGAAAATTTATACATGATTTCATAGAGAGAATCCGGACTACAGAAGAGAGCGACATGAATCAGCTCTCCAAAAATTGTTTCAGGAAGCTACCACTACTTCTGCAGACATGAATTCCGATAGAATTTTTTTATTTTTATCTGTATCAGTATGGATATTGCCCAAACACACAGTTTAACTTCGATGAAGTTTGCATAACTTCACCAAAAAGCCACTGAATTTCGAAATTGCCAACTTAAGCTCCTACTGGAATTACCCTTCTCTGTGTCTTAGTATTACCTGAAAGTTTTCTACCGGTTATTTGAAGAATTTTAATCCAGGATCTTTGTTATTTTCCATCCTTGTTAGATCTGAATCCCAGTTAGTAACACCGTCGAATTCTCTATGTCTCAAAACGCTTAGACTAAAAGTGTGGTTCCATTTTTATTTGTTACTCTTAAGTTCTAAGAAAAATAAAAGACAGAAAGTCTCGCGACATTGTCTAGTATCTTTCAGTTTTCTCCCTTGCAAATCAATTTCAACCTACGCTAGTGAATAACCGTGTCACCATGCTAAATTACATGAAAGAAGAAAGGTTCCATCCATCACATGTTCTTGAGGCGCGGCATAGAGCGAAAAAATGCTGTAGAAATGACTATCATTATATGCAAAGTAAGACAGAAGAAGTTCATTTATAATATGATACATATATGAACCACAGCAAAAACGCACGTGAAAATAACGATCAGAACAAATGCTTTGTTTATAACTAGTAAATGTTTAGGGATATTTAAATTGCTTGTGTTTCATTAAACAAAACACAAGCAATTCAAAACCGAAAATG